GCAGTTGATGATTTCTTCAAAACTTCAAGCCTACCTCGATCATCTTCGGTTAGGATCAGAAGGAAAATATATTTTTCAATAAAGTGAATTGTGTTCTGTTCTATTCATTGCGATTGGCGCCCGCTTCAGTGTTTACGCACCGGAATGTAAACAGTTTCATTGCACGCGCCGGCGAGTTTTAAACAAACTTGAACTACATGTATCCTGCAGTTAATTTTCCGTTCAATTTTTTCGAGCAATTTGGTGAACATTGATCGATGATTCGACAAATATCGAAACAAAAAGCGAATCCGGTCTCTCATAAAAAATTCTACATACGAGTCAGAGCAAGACGTAGTTGTGACAGGTAATCCTACTGTAACACAACACCATTAAAATAAGCGAGTAGCACTGATTAGCTTTTGTATGAATAACGAGATGAATGAGCCAGTTTTTGAGAACAGCATGTTCACCAACAACAAAAGCTCTGAAATAAGCATTCGTGCGTGGGTTGGCATTCAGAACGCGACAACTGGTTACAAACGAGCGCCTTAGCTGATTGTAATGTATATCGTTTAATCGACATCGGTTTACCAATTAAAGCTAAATTTACCATTTATTGAAATAATCTCGGCGAGGAGAAACGTTTCTTAAGCTTGATTCAAACGTTGTGCACTGTAAATAATAATTCTGAAGTATCACTGCTATGACACTGTAGATTATATACTAAGTTTGGATCATATAATGGTGAGATTATTTGTACCTTTAGTTCGAATTAACTCTCAATGGCTTCACTTCAAACAGCTTTGCTTTGCCCAGTTTTTGTTAATAGTTCTTGTTCATTCTACATCAAATGCAAGGGAGCATAATTTGTAACTTCTTCACTCCTATCAGTGTCTTACTTAGCTCTGTATGGTGTTTATTTTATTTTACCACTTGATTTTTGTGGACTTGAAAGTAATTGTCAGAGTACAGTGAAGATCAGTATTATTTCCAGTGCCTACAAGCTTCTTGTTACTAATCTGAGCCGCTTTGAATTGCTCTCTTTCTTTGCTTTTTATTTCATTGTTAACTCAGGGTCTAGAATTAACTTCTTCACTTGAGTGCCAAGGAGTGTCAATAAAACAATTGGATTCAATCACCATTTGAAGCAATGATTTGATTGCTAAGTCTCAATGATTAGAGAAAAGGTTAAATGTTCTATTCAACTGAAATACAAAATAGTTTCAAAGACCTTGACTCTTTACTGAAAACCAGAGTTAGAAGTTAATGTCAGTAATAAATTATGGATTCATTTCTGCATTCCTGAGTGCTGGTTTGCATGAAGAATACTGAGAAAACCTTAAATAGATACTGGTTAGCATTACTAACATTAACATTCTAGTTGCAAACAGTCAATTTTCAGTAGCATTGACAGCCAGCTCAGATTGCAATTTTGCACCTTGTCTCTATGAACTATATATATGGATGTTTTCCTTTGGAATTTTGTTTGTGATATTTTGTCTTTGTATGCATTTTTAAGAGAATCACCATGTTCTAAGAGAGTACCCTGTATATACATTAATGTTCAATAAATAAGTAAATTATGAACTTAATAAACAGCTGGTCATCTACTTTACCATTTTCATGATGTACAGAAACATTTTTTCATTGGTGCTATAGGGCTTTTGTTCCTCTCAACATTTCTTGCTTACTTGCACACCCCATGTGTTCAGGAGCAAAAAAAAAAGCTACATTATTTTAAAACTTAATGTCTGAACAACTTACCTAAAACTTTTAAATGATTTTTGCATATTCGATTGTAAATTGAATGGTTATTCCATTTTCTAAATAGATTGTGTGTGTTGTCGTGTGTCTGTATACTTCATAGTTCATGTCAAATTGTGCAAAGAACAAAGAAGTGGCACATGAGGCACGGTGGAGTGTGCCATGGATGAACTTACCATATTTTGATATAAGAACCAATCAAAGTGTGTGTATAATTCAGCTAATCATATAAATAATAATAATTGATCCATATGTGTTTGACTTCCTTGCAGCTGAGTTCCAGAATATTCTGAATTGGGGTTAAGTTCCATTCCAACAGCGGCAGGTGTTCTGATACTTGACTGACTGAACAGCCAGAACTTACGGTGATTTTGGCACAGAACAGTTATTTTTCCACCAGCTGGTTGAATTTTTTGCTGTCCACCAGATTAATCACTGGCTAGTAGATTGTTGTGAACACAATCTAACACACAATCTACTGGGTCAGTGGTTGATCTGGTGCATGGTATTATTGATTCAATCCAGCAACAGCAAGTACCTGAGAGTTTGAGTCAACTACTGCTACCATCTCACAGGAGAAGCAACTTGAAAAAGTGAGTGTTTATCTTGTATGCCTAATTGAAATAAATATAAATCTATGTATAGGAAAATAGAGATAAAGATTATAATAATAATAATAATAACAATAATAATAATGATGATAAATAGACCTTCAGCTGGCAACACAGCTTCTAGTTTGCAACAGAGTATATCAACTGATAACCACAACTAATTGATTGTAATTTAATTACATAGTAATTAATTAATTATATGTAGGGATACATTATACACCAGTATGATGGTTAACATTCTCAACATTCTTTATGATAACATCTTATTCTAGTTTATATTTAAACAAGTATTAGCATGACATAGCATAGTAAAGTAAGAACATTTAGGAATAAAGATACATCACAGATAATTCACAGAATCAAAACAAAACTGAGCTTGTGACTGTACTAGGATTTTGTTCCACTCATTTTGAGTCAGCCAATGAATGAGTTGCCAGTAATCAGATACTTGTGTTTGTGCTAAGATTTCTGAGATTGCCATGGGGCAAACATTGGAAGTTGTTAGAAGAAAATATGATTGTGGAGATAGATCAACACTTTTTAGCTGCTGTTTTATCAGAAATAGGATAAGATAATGTTGATACATAGGAAATGTAAGTTTTTTTAAAAAACACAAAATACGTTATAAAACAGATTGATATACTACTCTGAGCCTAGTGTAAGATTTATAATGAAATCTGGCATTGTGTAATGATCCCAAAGTATTACAAAATTAGCCAAAAATCGCTAGGAAAAAACTCAGTAATGTCTTGTGTGTGTATCAAATGAAGACCAAAGACCAAAAATTGAAGACCTTTTTTTTTTATGCCTATTGAGGCACAGACAGTTTAAAAACCAAGCTAAAGCATTCCTCAGTGCACTAGATGTGAAATCAATGGGGTCTCCATTTTGTAGAAAGTACCGTGTGAAGCTATAAAACAAAGACCCTAGCTAAAACACTTTGTCATATGCAGATGGAATTTATTCATTATATACAAATTATACACAAATTTGTCACTCTGACGGAAACATATTAAGTACATGTATCGTTGTTTCCTCCTGAAATTACTGTTAGAATGATAACCCTGTAGATGAAGGTTGCAATCAATTTTTTTCTTGTCTGAATTAGCTCCTCGTGTATTCTTGGTTATGTCCATAGTAAGAAGAACATGTATGCCTGTATATCAGTGTAAAATGTGTAAAAGGGGATCTAAATTTCAAACTACAGTCAGCTAATGTTTGCATGGTCTTGCTGTTGGCTGACTCACAGCTCTCACCTTCCCTTAGCTGAGGCTCCACCAGGTATTTGGTATGATCACTGTCTGCTTCTGAATACTGTTGCTCATCATCTGATTTGGAGTCTTCATCTTGTCAGAAAGTTGTGGTGTATCTCTTTGACATGGTGCTCAGTCAAAATTTTCCCTTGTGATCTTTGCACGTTGTAGCAAACAATTCTTTTTGTGGCACTTGCTACATTTTTTCCAGAGGCAGGACATTGATGTACATTGTTTTGTGAGATTTCCACAGTCTTGGTATGGGTACCTTTTGTGTGGTGTTAGATTTCTTTTTGTGATTCTTGGCTATACTTAAGAGTGTTTCCACAGCTCCTTTAGTCTATGTTCTTCAGCTCAATGGTGTATATTTCTGCAGCTCGGATTATACCAATGTCCTTATCAAGTGTTAATGCTTTGATTCACTTCCTGACTTCACAGCTCTTTTTTCTCAGTGTTACCAATATTTAGAAGATCAGTTCATTGTTTAATACACCATAAGCAACCAGTAGATGCCAATTTTTGTTATCTGTTTTTGGTATCAATGTTTCCATCTTCATGGCTGACACTGTTAATTAAGCAGTGTTAAAAAATAGAAACTGTTGGATTCTGTGTGATCATCAACTGGTTAATATTTAGCTTTTTGGTAGGTTTCCTTTCCCACAACATTGTTCTGAGAATTATTTGTTAAGCTTTTTTTCAAGTTTTTCTTTTTCAACAAGGTTCAATCCCCCACCAGATTACCTTTCTGACTGATTGGAGTAGGTGTAATGACTAGCTGATTAAAGACTGTCATATGCACGACTGTGGAAATGGTTCTACACACACTGTACTGTTTACATTTCACTTATCAAAAATAAATTAGTATCAGTGGCTAATTAAAGACCATCATATGCTTGGGCTGTGGAAATGGTTGTCTCCTTTGTCACTCATCAAAAATGAATTTGTATTTTGACTTTGACACCCATTGTGATTGATTTTGTCTTTTTCAGTCATTATGACCAATGACTTTAAAATGATTGTCTTTGTAGATTTCTGCAGTGAAGCAGATTATCTTTAATAAAATTCTTTTCCAAAATAAATGAACATTAACTTCTACAGTTACATCAATTATCAATTTAACGTTGATTGAATGGGCAGGATCGGTGGCTAGTTTTTGGGTTGTGTCCTTGTGTACCAGTACACAAAGGAACGAAACATTAACAAACTGCATCACAACTCCATGTATGGATATGAAAACAATAGGAATTCCCCCATGTACCGGTACACCAGGACAGCCCCAGTTTTTGTGTCCAGGCTTAAATATGGTAAATTAAATTGCCAGGTGATAAGTTGCTGAATTCTAGTTTTTATATGTTTCTGTAATGCTTTTATTTTCAGAAGCCAATTGGCAATGTCAGAAATTGTGAGAACTGATGAGAGCAGTCCAAACAACATTTATGGTGACCCACCAAAGATCAATATTAGTCTTCCAGAGAAAAGTGAACTAACCCAGAATTTTAAAAGTTGGAAGGATGTTCAACTCCCAATTGACATTCTGTTGTTAACAGTGAAGGACTGTGAGTTCATAAGCTGCTACTATTACATTGTTGATCCATTCAGAAGCTATTTGAAAGGGCTTGGTCATGTATACTTTGGAGGCATTGGTGAAGATCAGGATGATAAACTGAAAGTTGCTTTGATGAAATGCTCAGAGGGCTCTAGAGTTCCTGGTGGTGCTTTGGCTGTGGTAGAGAATGCTGTCATTCAGCTGAGGCCAAAAGCTGTCTTTTTTGTGGGCCACTGTTGTGGTATTAATCAGGAATCAACAAAGCTGGGGGATGTGGTTGTATTAGAAAAGCTCACAACATATTCCTATCAGAAGGTTACAAAGGATGGAAAGAAATTTCGTGGGTTCATAACTCCTGTAAGCAGAGGCATTGCTGAACTCATCAAATGTGCAGGTTATGGTTGGAATCCACCCCTAGAAAATCCTGAAGAAAGGAATGTTGAAGTCCATTGTGGTGAGGTTTTGAGTGGTTCTGAGCTCGTACAAGCTGAGTGGCGACGAGATGAACTGGTGAAGTCATTTCCTGAAGCAATTGCAATTGAAACAGAAGGAGAGGGTAAGATCTCTTTTTCCTTTGAAGTAACTGTTACTGTAAATCTGCTCAAAGAGATATTTGGGTACATTTGTTTTCTGGGAGAGAGAGTTGATACTCATGTGGTGGGTAAGCTTTTCTACCAGTGTCGAGAGATGCACTGGCTTGTGTCTGAACATACTGGACGTCAGATTAAAAGGTCTGGGTTCAAGCCCTGGGCTAAAGTGATTGACTGTTATAGTCTTGGCTGGGATACTTTACTCTCACAGTGTGTCTCTATATCCAGGAGTATAGATGGCTACTGATGAACTGACCAATATTTTCATATACATGTGGAGGGAGTAAGAGTACAGTCTAAGTGGCTGAATGGTATGGGACCTGGGAGAAGCTCGTGCTACAGGGACTAGCTTTGTACCTAGTATATGTAAAGTGACTTTCCAAAACATATCACTCGTTCCTTACAAATCTATGATAACAATAGTAACTATAGGAGGGGTTAAAATCAATAGATTTTGGAGAAAATTTGTCGTTTTATTCATAATAGCTTGTTATTGTATGTCTCAGGAGTTTTCAGTGCAGCACATGAACTAAAAATGGAGTGGGTTGTCATCAAGGGTATTTCAGGATATGCAGATGGAACTGAAGCAAAAGAAACCTGGCAAACATTTGCAAGTGTAACAGCAGCTTCTCTTGTTGTCAGCATTCTAAAGGAATGCAGTATTTTTGAAGATTGGCCACATTATAAAGGTAAACAGATCAACTTTGGTCTCTTTTAGGCCTGTATATTTGCTTACAGTCACTAGCTGTGCTCACAGTCACTTAATGTGCTGGAACCGAATTACCAAAACTGAATTAAAACCATGATTAATGACCTATGATCATGCACTGACCAATCAGAACAGCTCTTCACTCAGAATTGTTACATGTTTGTCAGCAATTTCACAGGCTCTGCTTTTGTGTGCTGCACTGGGCTAACAAAATGTGAGAAATTAAAGATAATGTTGACCTGAAGTTGACATACGGGAGCTCTAATTTTCTTTCTACAAAGATGGATGGTGGGATGCTTTCAAACTTTTTGGGAAGAAGACTTCCAACCTCACCCCACTATATAATACACCCAGAAACTCCTGCTTTAGCCCAACCCCTCCCCTACCAGCACAACCCTTATTTTATAAACCACAGGCAACCCAGGTTCCTCCAATCGGTCCAAAGAAGGGATAATGCTCGAAACATCAGCTGTAGAAACTCTTTACGGTGGCCATTTACATCATCAACTTAGTTAATAAAACCAAATTATCATTGCTAACCGAACAACAGTAACTGTTGACTCTTGCAGATAGGAAATTACTTGAGCCATCATCGTTGTTTACAAATTCCCAGTATGTCTATTGAGACTTATAGGTGCCAGGCTTTTTCAAACCAATTATTGCATGGTGCCTCTCCTAAGAACTGCGGTTAAATGCTGAATTTTTATGCAGAGGAAGGAAGGATCACACACATCTTAAATTCCTCACGTAGATTTGCATTTTTAGAAATCTTACACCCACATTCGTTTGAGTTATGTCCTAACCTTTGCAAGCAAGGTTAGGACGCAGTATTCGAATTATGTTGGTTTGAACTACATAAAGCCGCATGTCTGTTTCAAACCTCATAAGGCTGTCTAACTGCTGTCTGTTTGGTTTTGTGTTCTTGAAGATATTTCAACTGACAGACAACATTCAGCACTGAGGAAAGAAGTTCCGTCAGAGCCATGCTGCTCTAGTGCCCAGTCTTCCCAACAGCAACATGTTTCGTCTACCAAAACAGCAGGTATGTATTTGAATGAACAGATGCAGTGAGAAACTGTTTCTTTTATTCTTATTGCTGTGAAACTCACCATAGAGTTCTCTCTTGCTTAGTAGGAGAGCTTCAGAGCGCAGAATCCGAGGGTCTGGGGCTCGATGCTGCATATTGACTCATGACATCTTCCTTTAGACTTAACTAATTAGCGTTGCTGTTTGCGGTTTAGCTTTCTCTCTTCTGTTGATTAGCTATTTTTCTTGAAACTTTATGGCATATATTCCATAGAAATCTCTTGTGTTCACGGTTTTCTTAGTCTTACAGAAATACATTTTTGCGGCTAGATTTCTTTGACATGCAAATAATTACCTGCCATTATTTAATTAGTAATGAACCTGATTAAATGCCCACCTCGCTGTCTCTCGGTTTAAATTACTTTCCTTATGTTTGTAAGGTGGAAAAAGGAAGTCATCAAGCGGGTTACTGGACCAGGGCATAAAGCGCTCAAAGCTTGAAGGTATTAGTCACTGAGGACTTCAGTTTTTAACTTCTTCAGAATCTGCATTCTGATTTAGACTTTCGGACTGGAGGATTTTAAGTGTTACATAGTTACAACAGGATTTGAGATTTTCCTTAATAATAATTGCACTTGTCACAGAACAAATCAATATATTTTTAAGATTTTTGTGTAGCGGAACAAACGATAGCCTCGATTACCAGCTGCTGTTGATGAAACGAGCCCGCGCTTCTCTCCTTCACGGATCGGAGACTGCACTTGAGAATTAGGTGCAAATCGAACCTAGCGACGAAGATTTAGAGTGGCCTTGCCCAAGCTGCTTATTGTATGGAGCTTTTTTTATAGCCTTTCGCAAAGTAGAGATATAAATGGTAGGTCACCAAATCCGTTTGACGTGGCGAGGACATTTTTTCTTCCTGGCAGAAAAAAGAGAACAAGAAATCTTCTGGTCGCGTATATGGGCGTGTAAATTTCGTGTAAAATGATGCACGGTAGGATGCATAATGCAATGGCACGAAGTGGCCTCGAAACCAAATTCCTCAGGAGACGTTTCACGAGGAAAGGAAATAGCCCCATTGCTACAATGAATCTGTTGGCTCGAAAAATCTGGTCTAATTTTTTTTCTTTTTACATTTGTTATCAAGCAGGGGGTTCTACTAAACAGTTGCCTCGGCCAGAGGTGAAACGCCGTAAGGAAGAGTCGTCTCCGAAGGACGCCTTAACTCCAAAGAAAGGAAAAACTCCTTTTGCAGGTAAAATGAGGACATATCTATGGGCGTGCCCAGTGACCCCCACCCCCCAACCCGATCTTTCTTCCCCTTGCCTTGATAAAATAAATATACGTGGATTCAGCAAAATGACATGAATAGATGCAATACGTACTACTCGCTATCCTCTCATCTTGATGCTTTGCTGTGATGTCTTTATTTTTGTTGTCCAGCAAAGAGTTCCTAGTGACGAAGATTTAGAGTAGCTTTACGCAAGCTGCTTATTGTATGGAAAAGAGTTTTTAAGAGCTTTTCGCTCGATCGCAAAATAGAGATATAAATGGTAGGTCACCAAATCCGTTTAAGTGGCGATGACAATTTTTCTTACTGGCTGGAAAAAAAAGGAAAAAAAAAGAACAAGAAATCTTCTGGTCGCGTATGTGGGCGTGTATATTTTTGTGTTAAATGTTGGAAAGTAGGGTTGCATAATGAAGTTGCATGAATTGGGCTTGAAACAAATTCATTAGGAGACGTTTTATTAGGAAAGGAAAAAGCTCCATTGTCACAATAAATCTGTCGGCTCAAATATTATGTTCTGGTCTAATTATCTTTTTACATTTGTTACCATGCAGATGGTTCTACTAGACATTTGCCTCCGCCAAAGGTGAAATGCCGTTATGAAGAGTCGTCTCCGAGTGGCGCCTTGACTCCAAAGAAAAGAGGTAAAATGAGAACATGTCTATGGGCGTGCCTGTTAACCCCCACCCTCCAACCCCATCATCCTTCCCCTGCCTTTGTAAAATAAAAATGCGTGGATCCAGCAAAATGGCATGAATAGATGCAATATGTACTACACGCTATCCTCTCATCTTGATGCTTTGCTGTGATATCTTAATGTTTGTTGTCAAGCAAGGAGTTCCCAGCGACGAAGATTTAGAGAGACTTTCGCAGAAACTCGAAAAATGGAAGACAGTCGGGCGTCATCTCGAAATTGTGGAAGCAAGATTAACGGCGTTTAACAATGAAAATATAGAATGGTCTGAAAAAATCTTCAAAAGATTATTACATTAGCAAGAGAGGGAGGGCTCAGCTGCAACATACTCATAAGACACTTAGAATCTCCCGCCTTACCCCTCCCCTCCTTTTAGCCCAAGCCCCATTTTATAAACCACACATAACCCAATCGGTCCAACGAGGGGCTAATGTTCGAATTTAAGCTTTAGAAACTCATAGTTACTACAATATTTGAGGTTTTTCCTAATGTTTGTCTTAATAATTTCACTTGTCACAGAACAAATCATGTTCGTGAAATGAGCCCACGCTTCTCTCCTTCACGGGAGGATTGAAGACTGTACTCGTGAATTAGGGCGAATCAAACCCCCAACCTCCGCCTTCCCCAAAAAAAAAAAAAAAAAAAAAAAAAAAAAAAAACACCGTAGTGATCAGATAGTGAAAATGTGAATATTTACCTTCGGAATTAAAGAGTGACGTCGTCAAAGTTACAACAGATGGAAAGAATTATTCTCCTTATTGTTCAAAAACCCTTCTCGAGTGATTTTCTTTTGGATGTGGGAGAAAGAGAATTTTTACCAAGCTACTTGTTTTTTGTCTACAGACTCGTCTGTAACAGAATTTTGGGAATGGTGCCGGAATCAGTTGAGGGCGTTTTACAACACCATGTGTCAAGTGAAAATAACACCATGGGACCCAGACAACACGGTACACATTAATAGCATTTACATACAAGTAACGTTTTTACAAGACCACAGGAAACCTGACGGGACAACGAAAAAAAAGCTGGGAGACAGCAGTGAAGTATTTGAAGGTGACGAAGATCATCCCATCCGTAGACGAATTCTGGTGTATGGAAGACCTGGAATAGGAAAGTCTACTTTCACTCAAAAAGTAGCTGTGGATTGGGCAAATGGCAGAACGAAGATCCTCGAAAAGTTCAATCTTTTACTGTCAATCAGGTTACGAGACGTTTGTGGTATTTCGGACCTCTGTACCATGTTAAAAACAGCGGAACTGTTGTCTGCTGATAACCCGATGGCAGTCAATAACTTGTGTGAATATGTCCGTCAGAACCAGGAGAAAGTGCTGCTCATTTTGGATGGATATGATGAGTACAGCGGTGGAAAATCATCCCTAATTCACCAGATTTGGAGAGGCAGTCAACTGAGAGACTGTTGTGTAATGATCACAACGCGGCCAGTGAAAGAGGATGAGCTAAGAGTGCCAAGTCACGCTCAGTTTGAACTTAACGGGTTCGATAGCTTGGAACAGAAGGAACAGTTTGCAAGAAAGATTCTTCCTGATGAGGAAGATGTTGAAGGGCTACTTGAATACCTGAAGGAGCATGACCTCGAGGAGATGGCAGAGATTCCACTATTATTGTTGATGTTGTGTCTTCTGTGGAAGAAGAAAAAACCTCAATTACCAACATCTCGTGCGGAAATTTACGTAGAATTTATTCAGACTCTCTTGGATCATATGGCTATTAAAGACTCAGACAACGTCGCAACAGATGAAAGCATAGATGAATATCAAGAGGAACTTTCCAAAATAGGAAAACTTGCATTCGATGCTCTTTTGGAGGACTGCCTTCATTTTAACTTCAGTAAATTTCCGCCTGGTGATCTCTTCGAGAAGCTTATTCATGTCGGTTTTTTCCAAGTTTCCAAACTTTCTGCTTTGAACCGTGAGAAGATCGTGTCTTTTCTTCACAAGTCCGTTCAGGAGTTTCTTGCCGCTTGGTTCATCGTTCAAGAAGCGAAGGTTAAGAAGAATGAAACCGTCACCTGCTTGTCAGGAATAGATACGTTTAAAAAATCAAGGAAGATGGATGAAGTTCTAAAATTCGTTTGTGAGTTGTCATCAGAAGCTGCTGGCATTGTTTTTGATCATCTACGTTATGTCGGAGAGAAAGAAGGTCTCACAAATTACAATTTTACTAGGACGCCTTCTGTTGAAGATTTGTCTCATGCACAAAAGGAGTTTATTCTATTGTGTGTCGATTATTTGTTTCGTTGTCCAGCCTCAGACAGACTAGCTGTGTATTCTGCATTTCTCTCATGTGTTAACCATGTTGTAATACTTGATAAGGAACACTCGTCTACTGCTGCCAAAACGCACTTCTTCAAAGACACCACCAGTTTTCCGAACTATTTATTTTACTATGGAACAAGAATTCTTACAAGAATTCGAACACTTCTACCGGGGTGGACTGAAGATGATAATTTCCCTTCCATATCGTTTGACTTGAACGCGGTCCTTTTAACGTGCTCTGGAGAAATTAAAGATGTTAAAAAATACGCCGATTTACGCGAGGCGGACTTTTTCCTCAAAAAAAGCGAAATGAGAAACTTTATTTATTTTCGTGACATAACAAATACTGTTCTTCGTTCTAAACTTTTTCATGAACTGATATCAGCGCCGGTTTGTTCTTCTCAGCTACCTGTGGATAATTTGCGAAATAATGAAGACGACAACATTGCACTGTCTTTGACTGAGGACAGATCTGACCAGACACAACAACATTGTTTGTCACTGGCGAGAGAGGTTTGGTTAAGTGTAACAGTTGAGGATTTTGTTCTGTTGAAGAACTTGTTTCCCTTATTAACAGCTCCTCGAGATATTGATATAAGGGGAAGCGTGACAGATGGCTTGGAAGTTAATTCGATTGAGAGCGTGATTCACAGAATTAATTTTACTGACAATCTCCACAGTTTAGAACTTCGTGGTATCAATCTAACAGAAAAGTGTGCTGCTTTTATTGCTGAGTCACTGCACCACTCTCCAAGCTTGCATGAGCTCTGCTTGTCATGGAACCCCTTACACAGCGGTGTGAGTCATTTGGCTGAGAATCTTCATCACGTGCCACAGTTGACTAAGTTAGAGTTAACTTATGTACAAATGGGAGAAAAGGAATGTGCTGCACTGGCTGCCTCATTACAGTACTTAAACAAGTTAGAAGAACTGGATATGTCAAAAAATGCACTGGGTCACGGGATCATTGAACTGGCCAAGAACCTGAACAGTGTATCCAATCTGACTCAGCTGAACCTGTCGTCTACAAATATGGGTGAAGATGAAGCATCAGCACTGGATCGTGCACTTAAGGATGTACCAGAGCTGAGAAATCTTGATCTAGGGGGGAATCCACTTGGCAGAGGAGTCAGGGACCTGGTCCAGCATCTCAGTAGTGTTCCTGAGCTGAGTTTCCTGTCCCTGTCTAGTTTTCAGATGACAAAGACAGAGATTGAAGAGTTGTGTACAGCAGTAAAAGGGAGAGGCATCACTTTGTTCACTGATTACCATGTAAGAGTCTTTTTGTTGTTTCACCCAGTTGTATCTAATCTTTAGTTAGACGTTCCTCAGAATAGCACTAGATATTGTTTCCAGCAAGTTGCTTTTGATAAAATTTATCAGAGTAGTCTGCATGGGAAAGAATGTAGACATCAGGAACAGGCACTGTTCGAAATTTTCTATTTCTATTTTGTGACATCAGGAGCAATTGTTGGGGATGGCGGAGACCGTAAACAGCCCATGTTAAGTACTTTAATGGTTCATGTAATGCTTCTTTGACTATGGTTTCCAGAAAAATTTGTCTAAGATTAAATTAAGACATAAACAAATTTAGCTTTCAAAACTTTGATGTTATTTACAGACAGTAGTTTCCAGTGTAGTGGATGCTTGATTACTGAAAGCTAATTGAAAACTTTGGGAGTTTGATTCATTCGATTGGCCTTTGAGTTTTAGCGAAATCTTGTTAGAGAAATCTTCTGTAGCTATGCCTTACATAAGAGAGAGAAAAAAAGATGAATTGTGAGAATTTTTCTCGGACCAAACTTCTTTGCGCAATGGTAATTTTTGAATTTTTTAGGCTTGTGTTGTTATTATGGGATGCTTTTATTTGAGTTTGATTATGTGCCCTGAAATTACTGTGAACCCATACATGCTTTGGATTTGATGACGTTGTTCCTTACAATCTGTACCAGCATCTACTCGCTTTTATTAACAGGAAGCGTTAACCCAACAAAATAGAAAGAACCAAACAAAAAAGGTTTTTTCTTGTTTAAATCCAAATGCGTGTTTTGAAAAGCGAAAATCATGTTGATTCTATTGTCATAAATTTACGTTTTAAAGGTTTGTACTGATGATAGGAAATAATTCACCAAAAGTTGTAGGTTAAAGTATTAACATCCAAAAAGAAACTGACACGGTGCTATAATTTACTTGCACTTAAATGGTTTCATTATTCTTATTTATCAGTTGGATTCTTTTTGTCTTTAGCTGCACTGCCCATGTTGAGTAACTCCGTCAGATGCTCGTAGGGTCCTCGGTCGCCTTTGTCATAGAAGCCTATTTTTTTTTCTTTTAAGAAAAATTAAAGAAGAACATTGTAAATAGCGAACTTGTTGAAATGACTATTTCAAACCTTACATTCTAAAACCTTTTTGGTGTGTTAAACGAAAATATAACATAGAATAAAGAGCAAAGTACTCCGGGGTTGGTAATAAGGCAAAAAGAGATAATAGCGAGAAGGAATTGGAAAAGAAGACAGGCGGGCACAAAATTCAATGGATAAATATATATATATATATATATATATATATATATATATATATATATATATATATATATATATATATATATATATATATATAGATATAGATATATTGTTTTTTTTTTGGAGGGGGGGGGTGGGGAAAGGAGGAAAAAAATCAAGAAAGTGTTTCACATGGGTCACCTCTGATAAGCGCTTCGGCTCGATGTTCCCATTCTGTATCCAAAATAAGACCAATATTACCACGTCCTAAACAAAATAAAGCGCTTGCACTGGTCGTGAGAAGAAGCCTTCGGAGGCGAAGTTTCCATTAACATCTCATTCAGCTGAAAGATCTGGGAAAGACGTTATGTTATGGAACCTGTGAAATTAGCGCTTGAAGAATGAAGCATTACTCTGCGTCAGGCGTAAGCGCCCTGTTAGAAAACAAACAAAAAATCAAAAGAAATTATTTTAAAAGCTTAAACTTCATAAGCGCGACGCGTGACACGCGGCTACTAGTCAAACTCGGCACTGCGCTATAATTTACTCGCTCTTAAATGGTTTCCTTATTCTTATTTATCAGTTGGATTCTTTTTTAAGTGTCTCGTATATGATTCAAACGGTTTTGTCAGAAAAGTATGGTTACATTGAGAGGAGAGTTCTTTACTTTTGGGAAAGTCAAGGAAAACATTACATCGAGGACTCCAGGTCATCAAAAAGAAATATTTAGGGTTGTCTGTCTTTCAATCGTGTAACAATCATGTTGGTTGAGAGGTGAACTGGAGTAAACCCGGTTGCGTGTAGTCTTGTAAGGTTGGAAAATTGTTAAATCGTTGATTTACTCTCGGGCAGACAATAACTTAGCTAATACTTTGTGTGCGGAAAATAAAATAATTTCGAAGATACTAGACAGTTTTCCTCCCCCCAAAAAAGTTAGTATTTAATGTAATTTATGTGTTTGTTTGTAAACCTTCACCTCATCTTAATCGTCAGGGAGCATTGTTTTTTGTTATTTGTAACTGAGATCGTTTTCCTTGTTGTAAAATGGTCTTAGTCACTTGTAGCTATTTGAATTCAAAAGTGAATGTCCTCTTTCACTGCTCGCTATATGGACAAACGTATTTGAATGCGACGAATATTTATCTTGTGTGTTAAAATGTAATTTGAGTGTCGCATAGAATTAATGAAACAGGTGTATTTTTCCAAGCGAAGGAAGCTTAACATTCCGATATACGTGGGGAGTATCAAGGTGCTTTAAATATTTATCTGGTGTGAAAATGCAAGTTGAGAGTTTCACATAATTGGTGCTGTGGTTGATGTTGTGTCCTTTTTATGTCCTGTGATAGGTAATTAAAATAACAGGTGAAAGGGTGATCTATCAACGTCTTACAAAAGCTGAGCTTAAAAAAAAAGGAATAAGGTTCAGAAAAGAGCAAGATAATGACGACGAAGAGGAAGATAGCGATGATTTCGATGATGATGATGAAGATGACTGAGCGCACGGAAGAAAAGGTTCCATGGCAACTGATTTAGCGAGCAGTAAGAAGAATGATATTTCATAATATATTCTATCAAATATTTTTGGTCGCGCGCGGGATTGGTCTAAATGCATCGTGTGACCGAATATCCACTAGCTCAAAACTGCAGAATATCCTTGAATAAACCCTACCTGATAATCCCCGATTTTCAAACTTTTCGTCCATTAGGGTTGTTGTTGGCTGTTGGTTGTTACAGAAGAAAGGACATGTTTTTGTGTTCATACAGTTGTACCAGCGAACACTGAAAAGTGAACATCTCACGTAATAAACGGTGAACTGTTCGTAAACACTTTCCCCGCGCGTTGCAAAAATAATTCAAGGAAGATAAACACAATAGCCTCCATTTGGCGCAAAAAACAGTTTCGTATATTTGTCCTTAGATATTATCTGTTGCTCAAACCTCTCACTTTTCCTCGAGCTTCACTCTCGGAAACTTTTCGCATCTCGGAACAGATAATTTCCGAACAGCAACAGAAACGAAAAACAATGTGCATATATTCGCGCCAAATGGGGACTACTGTTTATTTAGAATTTCGCAAGTTACTGGACATACTTACTGTCTCTTACGGCCCTACACCTATATTTCAGCATAAAGTATGAGAGCAGCGTCGAGTTCAAATTGGAAACTTAGATAATTAACCGTCGGTATTTCCCTTCTCATATCACGCAAATTTTAGTGATTTCACGTTGTTGTTTTGTAGGGGACTGCTGAGAAATGAACTGAGTTTTAAAACGCATGTGCTGAACCATTGTTCTGCTCATAATTTAGACCTTTAGTTTGTCGTGGTGGTTTGCTGAATTAAAAAGTTCCCAAATTTCTATTCCCGCGTGAAACGTCTTATACTGTAACCGGAAATGCAAGTTCTTTTTGGCAGTAAAATACCTGGATGATACTCAGTGTTTTCGCCGATCTGAACGCGAAACGAATTTCTTAGGATACCAGAGTAAAAATAGTTTAGCATAGATCCCAAACGTGGCTTTTTGACGCGAAGAAAGAGACTCCTTAGTCGTTTATGCCTTGCTCTCCTCTTTTAGAGACAGTCAAGGGTGTGAGGTGAGACATTGGAGGTCTGGGAAGGAGTGAGAGGAGCTTCCTTTCCTTCCCAAACCACAATTTTCACTCTCCCAATAATTCGATCTTTTCAAGCAGCTAAGACCCTGGCAGAAGGCAAGCTCAATTTATTTAAATTAATTAACTCAAATTAATCAACTCAATTACTTCAAACTAATTAGTTCAATTAATTTTAATTAGCTGACAAGCTTATTTTCTCCTTACAAAAAAAGCCGACTCTGAGGAAAGGAACAGATGAATGATTCCTTGAGCTTGGATCAGTTGACAGGCAGCGTTGTACTTTCAAGTAGGCTTATTTTTCGATGCTTTACATTGATGATGCTTGAAATTGGAGATATATGGAAAATCTTTCATTATCAGAAAATTTTAAGTCGATAATTGGTGTTACAAACTTAAATGCTTGTTAGTCTCACTTGTCATTGTAAATAGCAATTTAGTTGGTTTATTTTTACCCAACGTTGTCACATTTTTTAGCCTCACTTTTATTGATTTATTAAAAGGATTTTTGTGAAATATCCTTGTCTCTTTGAAGAAAGTACAAATGACATGAGTGGTTGAAAAAGACCTTGGATACGACTTCTATCCCTGTTGCCTGGATCCTAAAGCACAGCCATTGAAATAGTTCTTTAACGGCTGAACGCACTACGCATAGAATGATATTTGTGTGCAGAGTTTGAATACAAGAGACTAGTATGTAGTCTTTCGTTCGATATAGGCAGCCCCTGTATGAGAGGAAAAAACTGGTTAATTTTCTTGGTTCTGATTTGCTTTTTTTCCTCGATAATTTACCGCAGAATCTGTCGGCCTGACTTGTGTAACAATAACGCCTTTCGTGTCCCACCGAGCGACCGTTTTTAATATTGTTTTTGATGATTTGTTTTTGTTTGCATGTTTGTTTTTTTTCCTATAACTACCGTCGTTCCTTAAGTTGTTTCATTCAATCGGCAGGCATTAAAAGACATCTAAACATCCTCTCCTTTTTACTGCTGTGATTTAATTCTATCAAATGCTAAACCTGGCGACGAGAAAAACACAAAAGGTGGAAAAAAAGACAGAAATCCTTGCAAGCAGTCTCTATTTTTGTCGTTTGTCCCCTTCCTCCCCCATTTCTCTTCCGCAAGAGCGCACCAAAGAAAGCTTGATATCCCAAACATTTATGATATTTCTCGTACACAGCCTACGATAGTTAGGTAGGTTTCGGGCTTAATTCTCCCGAAAGGGGATTTTGCTTGCGCCAGCTATTAAATAACCAGAAGAGCAGATTGGTTTCTTTTTTCAAATTATTTTATTTTAGATCACATTCAAGTTGTTTTGCAGTCCAATTTGTATCACGGAGAACGCACAATTTTCACTTCATATATAAAATCACCATCATATCCATTGGCGGGAAACGTGTTACATAACTTTAAGGTTGTTAACTCGTTGCAAATTATAATTAACTGGAAGCTGATATAATGCCACTACTTAAAAATTGAACCAGTGTTCATGATAAGGGATAACTTTAGAGGCTTTACATAACGCTACACTTTGATAAGGTGCTAGCGACCCCGCCCAAGACTGGTATCATTTGCAGCGCTCTATCAAAGAATCCCGGCTTTTGAACTTGCCGTTGTCGGCTCTGATTGAGTAGCAGCTGCTGTCTCAAGCTCTCCACTGTCTTCTCCATGCCTTCATTTGATTTTTGCATTTGTGCAAGTCGTTGGCTGAGTACTTGGTTTTCTTGCATGAAATTTCGTCTGTGTTTTTCAACCTCCATCATTCTCGCCTTTACCATGTTCTCCATTTGTTGCAGTTGGACCGCTGCTTCAGCTTCCATCTGTTCACGGAGTCTCTTTTTTTCTTGCTCCTGTTTTGCCTGCAGCATTTCCATCTAATTACCAGACAGGAAAAAGTTCAGGTCAGACAGCTCTAGGAGAGTCATGATGAAAAATACTATGGCATCTACTCTTGTTCACCTCTGTGCTAAAATCATCAAATTTCTCAGTCACTCAGAATGAATTTCTGATAAAATTACTGAAAAATCTTTCACAGAAAACACTTAATGGGATGAATTCTTGCTAGCGTTATTCATTCTAAAGATATATTTTGAGACATTTGAAGGTAAAGTTATTATGAGGTAATATTCTTATAACAAAAAAAATTAAGGAATAATCAATCTAAGTTGACACATCATAAAATTACATTGGAATGGAACCAAGAGAAAATAAGCAGGCAGAGAGGGTGGCCCTGGCACGAGGACTCGTTCAGACAAGATGTGAGCCTTTTATTTCACTTGCCCTGGTACCAAATCGGATGTTACTCAAAAAACCTAGTTCCCAGGAATTAGTGTACTCACGCTTTTTTAAAAGGCTTACTTTTCTACGTCTTTAATTGGATTTCACTATATTTGATCGCCATAAAATTCGTGTGTCTGTGCTTTCTGGAATCAAAGATGTGCATGTTTAGCGCTTCCGTCTGAGAAGGCAAAACTCACAAAAAGCAGTCAATGGTCCTCTTTGTTCCTTTAATCTCTTTTTGTGATTTGGACAAATGGAAATCGTCAAATGATAGATTTGACGATTTTTGAAGCGTGGAATGATTTCTTTAGTGGTTGTGAAAATGTCGGATCAAAATCAGAATCTGATCAACTGTACACCTACCCCTCCCCTGACCCAACATTAACCCTAACTTGTTTTTTTTTTATTGTTGTTGAGTTGGGGGGGAGGGCGGGTAGGTTTAGAATTTCTCAGATACTGACATTGACTTAAAATGTCTTACTTCCTTATGGCGCTGACGATTTTCTTGTTGTAAACGTTCGTGTTCCTCCTTAAATGAGAACGAAAAGTCACATCAGTATAGGCTTTGTCTAGCAGATGATGAAATTCTATATCCTCGCCATTAAAACTAAATTAATATAGCAATGTTTTTGACAAAGAACAGAGAAAGAAAGCATGAACTTCAATCGGCTTTTTTTCTCTTATTAATCAGTTGATTAAGTTTGTTGAAGATAGGATGTTATTTTCCGTTCCTTTTCTTTAGCCGCAGAACGTTAACAAAAACAATTCCTATTCCATTTTCCGATCCCAATTTTCCTTTCTCCTTCCTTCTTCCCATTTCCCTTTTCCCTATTCTTCATTTCCTATTCTCCGTTCCCAACATTTATCATTCTCAATTTTTTTTCCGTTAAAAAGTAATATGATTATTAAGTCGATTAAAATTGCATCATGAGTACCTCAAGTTTTATCTTCTCTTGCTCTTGATAGGCTTTGGCGGCAATTTCTCGACTCAAGTTCTCGTCAAAGTCCTTTAATTGTTTCAGCACGCCCAAGTATTGTTGCATTTCTGTCATAAGTTCCTGTGATAAAAGTAGAACTTTCGCTTACATCGTTGCTTTGTCTGTTGGTTTTCTTCGTGGTAACTACCAAGAGATTATAAAGTTATATTCTCTTGTAACAACATAATAGTTACTAAGACCAAGAATCGCAATGTATTTGTATTAAAGGAACTGAATTTGGTTTGTATTTTTTCGCTGTCCGTGAAACTATTAACGTCAATGAAAACAAAAAGGAAGACAGATGAGAAACCTCATTAATTTGTCTCATTTCTGGTCTGAATTTTTAATTCCAAGTAAAAAACCTTATTTACCGGATGAAACTCGAAGAACGCAGCAGCACAAACTTGTTTAGCTCCGGTGGCACGAGCTTTGTAGTCCTGCTCAATCTTTTTGTAACCTGCTACAATGTCATCGAACATGACTTTGGCGCCTTCCTTTCCATGGAGCTGGTCGAGGATTGGATCCAAGTGTTGCTTTTTGAGTTGCTTCAGGAGAGCGTCACAAGCCTCTCGCGTAAACTGATCATTCTCAGTCTGCCACGTGACATAATCTCGGTCAGCAAACGACTGAGAAATAAAAATGAAAAATAAAAAATAAAAAAAAGCCCTTTTATATTTACAGTAAATACCAGTGTTCATCTTTGCGTGCTGTTGTTTGTTCCCAAACTTTAACTGGACATTTATTTGTTGTTTCTGTGAGTAACTTGTGCCAAAATAATTGAAATTTACGAACATTCTCCTCCAGTAAGTCCAACAATAAATGCTGGGAAGCACTGTAACTATTATTTCGTGGCATTCATGGTTGTATAACCAGACAGTTACTAAATATTTATCGCTTATAAATTAGAGTTAGGTCAATTAGATGCCGCCATGAAATGAACAAGCAGTAGCCTCCACCTGGCGCGGAAACGTGCACGAAAAATAGTCATCAGAAAATGTGTAACGACAAGCGTTGGCAAAGCTTGAGGAAGGTCTTGAGCCTCGTGGAAAAGAACCAAGGATATTTCATTGCTTTGGAAATGCTTCTGCACAACCTATTCTTTTCACCGCACTCAATTTCGGACCAGGTACTCTGCTGCTTTTAAATATTTCACCAAGATCCGAAACCTTGAGTCAAATCATAAAGAGTTTGTCCTGTTAGAATTCTACCACAAATCGAAAATTTTATTCATCCCCACAAAAATGTTGGACGAAGTTTGCAAAAGTTCGTCGGTATCATTTTACTCCAAAGTACTGAATGAGGAATGTTTAAGTAATGTGTGAAAACTCCTTACCACTAGCTCGTTGAGGTACCTCTCGGTTGTAATAGAGGATATTCCGATTGTTTCAGCTTGTAACTGACCAATTGCTTGGTCAAGAGCAGTTTCATGACATTTATGAATGTCTTCGGAGTCACAAGGCAGCTGATTGGACAGTTGTGAATGCACGACGGCGCTGTAGACATTCATGGCTTCGTGCGTTGCTTCAGAACAAATCTGCTACAAATGTGTCCCAAGCTGACTGGACATTAGGAATCACTCCAGGAGTATTGATGGCCTGCACGTAAAGCTCAACCAAGGCAGCCAAACCTGGAAACAGAGTGGGTTATCGAGGGATGAAAATTGTCTTTAAGGACATACTTAATTGGAAAAGTATACAGTAGACAAAAGGTGTAAAAAATAATCTAAAATAGAAAAGCATGGTATAAGATTGTGACTCCCATAATTCAAGAAGTAGGCGGCGACTTAAGATTCTAGAGATTAAGCTAATCCCTCGAAATTTGTCTTCAAAACCAGTAATTTTCGTCTGAAGAATATATAGAATTCTGAGAGAAGTTATGAGTTGCTCTCTCACGGGAGATGAAAGCCAAACGAAGATGCAATAGTAGCCTTTACCTTCACCAGTCACAAGTTCTCCGTCGTTGAAGCTGTGCTTAGGAGTAAGAGTTCTTTTCAACAAGACCTTGAACTTCTCTATCCCAGAGAAGAACTCACTGTTGATCTGACTTTTGTTTCTGTTGATGTTTTTCATGACCTCTTCACTTGCAGATGGTGGTGGCAGTTTGAAGGCTTCGAAGCCAGGGAAGAAACACAAAATGCTTTCAGCGACTTGTTGGGTGTGGTCTGCCTGTCCCATTCCTTGATCCTTGAAAACCTGGTTGGTGTAAAAAGCAGTTGTAATAAGGAACCAGTCATTTTCTCTTAGGATGGGAGGGAAGGATTCTGGAAGGAAGGTGGTTTTCAGTGGGGAACGGAGTGGGGATCAGTCGTTGCCAACAGAGTATGAAGGGGATACTATGTAAAATTGACTGCCAATTAATAGCTAATAAAAGGGGGGGTCACAAGACTATTACAGAGTCTCTTCGGGGTGATTAGGTGAACATTATTGTGACAAAACCAAGATCCTCTGTCATCCCTTTCATATAGACGTTTGTATCACAAGCCAAAACAAGATTTAGATCCCTATCGCCGAGGATATGGAGCACATTACAATGTAATCAGTGATCAGTGATCAGTGATGAAATTTCCTTTTGGAATACGTGTTAAAACCGTTGAAATACAGTGCCTGTATTTCACCAATACAAGCTTTTTAAGTACACGCAAAAATATGTATAATTTATAGACTCCCCCCCCCAGGTTTCCGGATCAAAATGATGCCCGAGAGGGAACACCTCAGGTTAATCGAAAGCTTCGCTCAAATTATACGACTTGCCTTTTCCGTATGGACCGGCAATCGATACAACATACACGGGATCTACGTATAGGAAGTGTAATGAATTATATTTTTATCAGTTTTGATATAACTCTCATAGTTGTAAATCGCCCCTTGAAGTTATGTCTCAAACAGTCATACCAACTTATTTTATCGGCATATAAATTAAGGAATTTATCAGTCGTGATCACAGGTAGACCGAATTTGATACACGACTTCCACTTCGTTATGATACTAGGAGCCAATAGAAATATAAGATTTACATGAAGAAATTTTGGTTGCATTTTTAAATTGAATGTGTCTGAAGGTACGTGAAAAAGGCATGTGGCCATCCTCGATTCAGTCGTCTTTTTACCGATGTGGTTTTCGTGTCGATTCACAGTGATTTGGATGGTTATTAGTTTCCCTTCGTAGAATACATAAAGGAAGAAACAGAGAATAAAAAACCGCGCAAATAGCCATAAGAAGGCCAGAAAAAGAGACACACCAATACATTCATGCACGTGCGACTAAAGCAAGATATGCTATTTTCGTAAGTGAATCTATTAAAGTCCAGCCCAGAAGAGCAGTTCTAACGCCGAAAAGCAGTTTTTGAAACGCACTTCGACTGACAGTCACAAACCAAAATGGACATCATAACGAATTGTGGGAAAAGCAATGTGACTAATCTGTGGTGCGTCTAACTCGCGTTTATGATTGCTTAAGTTGTAAAACGAAATTTTGAATCGCGGATTGAAAAAGAAAAACCCATGACCCTCCTTGATTATTGTTGAAACTAAAAGGAAAACTGCATCAAGATAAACTGGAAAGCTCGAGATCAACGTACGGTAACAAGCATATGACGGTGCCCAGAAAAAAGTAAGTCCCTAAATTGATAACTACGTTAACTATAAAAACCGAATCGAACACAAGCAGATATCAATCTGCTCATTTTTATACTATTGATAATAATCTTCTTTCTTTTCTTTCTTTTTTTTTTTTTCCATTATTGTGCCATTGCGTATTCTTCCGAATGCCTACCTTGAATGTGTGTTGATACAGAATTTTACACTCACGGAGGACATTCGATAGGTGGGAATGTTTATCGTCGATAGAGTAAAAAGGAGCAATACGCCCCCCACCCCGCTTAAGCAATTTTGTAGGCGTGCGAAGACATGTTAGTGAACAGTGAAGATAATTAGTCTCCCCACCCTCCCCATTCCTTAGCCATGACGCTTCTCTCAGCTATTTCATGGTTACATGTGTGCAGTTCTCATTGCGCCCAGTAAGAGCTTGAACATGTATAAAAAACAAAACTTGTTATGTAAAAACTGATGACCATGAAGATATGGACAGAAAACATACCTTTCACAGTCTTAAGCTTCTTCAGCGCTTCCGCCACCACATACAGTGACGTACGTTGTCCTCCGGTTTTGATTTATTCTCGAGTTGCTGCGTTTCACTGGCAGTTGTTCGGTAAACAAAGAGGGATGGAAATGCTTTGATTTTTTCTTGAAGCCATGTTTCCAGCTCTTTTCTGAAAGCACAATAAATAAAATGTAACATGACACACTAATGTCCAGGAAACAAAATAAAGTTTGCAATCCATTTATACACGCAATCACACGATTTCGAGTGCTATTTGTAGAAATAAGCACGAGTAAATTTTTCAAAGATCAAAAAAGTTGCAGGGGCCGGTAGGACATGTGACAAGTGGAATTTGCGGTCTTTGAAAAAAATTATGAAAGGATATTTCTTCCAAATTGCAACAAACATTTCTTCATTGTGATGGACCACAAGAAATTCCGTATTTTGAAAACAATCGGTGTAAAAGGGACAATTTTCCTTACACCTTCAAGTGATTTCTTCCAAAAGCCTGGTTTTTCTACTTCTTGTTTTCTCTCTTGAGTATCTGCTACTTCTCTTTACCGCTCTTCCGCTTCTCTGGTTTGTTTAATTAGTCAATCAACTCAGCCGTTTCGCCACTCCTCATTTCATCCCGTGAAACTTTCTTAGCCATCTCATTTGACTTTGCGTTCAATTCATCCCACAGAGCTTTCATTTCTTCTTCTTGTTTTTAATTCAACGCTTTTATTAAATCTTCCTTGTCTGGATCAACTTGATCTTTCATCTGTTGACAAAGAGCCTCTCTTTCTGTCCGTTGCAGGGCGGCTCGATCAGAAAGATTTTGAACCATTTTCATGATTCCTTTGTTGCATCCTTGAAATGCCAGGAACTGTTCTTGTAAAGATTCTTCTTCCCCTTCCCTTTCCCTTTTTTTTTTATCCACCGTAATCATAAAAATCACAATTTCCCTCGGATTGTGATTGGTTTAAAAAACTCCTGTTTTTCACTTATTCACTTGCCAAGTTGTTATCGGACAGTTCAATAAGCTAATCACTTTCAAAGTTGTAGTTTAAATCAACTAGTCACAACCTTGGTTTCAATCACCAAAAAAAAAAAAGCAGGCTCCTAAATTGGGACTTTCTTCAAAATGGAGAATTTTCCCCAAAAACTATGACAATATTTTAGAAGATTTTGTTTGGAAATTGTCATTTTTATGATTAATTGGCAATAAGACGTCGCGACGTCCAACTCGGTTTGTAATTGTTGTACAGAGGCCCTATTAATGGTTATCGGAAAACGGGATATTTGGGTAAAAAATATAGAGAAACGGGATATTTAGGCGGAAAATTAAATAGATACGGGATTTTTAAAAAAAGATTCCCTACCCCCCACGGCTTTTTCCATTTTGCGCCACTTTCCCGGTTACTTATTACTTTGAAGTCACCTCAGTCCTTTAACAATTCTTTACAGAATGCTACATAAAAGCATACCATCGATAAACATGATGTCTTATTTGCACGTAATTTCTATTTGAAATACGAAGCACCCCAGGAAAATGTATTTTTCGTTATCAGGTACCTAAACATATCACGCTCAATGACGTCATCATGGTAACTAGCATTGTGGGGATACGAACTACAATAATTAGCGGGATACGGAATATTTTGGCCAAAAAGTAATGGGATACGGAATACTCAGACCCCTCCTAATGGGGTTTGTATGCTCGTGTTGCTCGAATAATTTTCGTTCTCTCACCATGGGGTAGCGCCACTTGGTACGTTTTACCCAATAGGATAGTCAGGATGTTTATGCATATTTTATAGACTAACTGATCTGAGAGATACTAGAACAGCTGGTGGAGGTGAACTTCACCTCTAATACAATGGGCAGATCTTGATAAATACCAAAACGGAAATAATTTCACAGAACTACACCCGTTTCCTATCTTGAGTGGTTATAAAATATGTCAGTGAAGTTGAGTCAATCTAGACACAAGTTCGGTAACTGAGTACCATCACTTGTCACGCAACATTCAACATGTCCTAAAGGAGTCACGGAGTGGTTTTACTTCAGTATTTCATTGTTCGTTTCTCTTTCTTTTTGTGGCATAAAGGTCATCTGTAATATGTCGAGCCAAACTACTACTACGGCAAAGAGTGATCAATAACAAGGAAACATATTTTTAAAACGTTTAGCACTTCCGGCTTGCGGCTTATCACGTGACTGGCAAGCTTGAGTGGTCGTAGAATGCAGAGTTCCTTCGTGAAATCAACTGGCTGATGGAGTGAAGTTAACATTTCAGCTGTAGAATCCTTGTGTTTCCTCCTTTCAGCACGGCTCTGAACTTGTAAAATAGTTTGCTATGTAAATTTCATTTAACCAAGTTGAAGTAGCACAACAGCTGTGGCTCAGTTTCATAAAATACGAGCATGTGCAATCGTCGAGTAAAGAGGAAAGAGAGGTAAGGTTGTGGTCTGCCAACTTAAGCGAGAATGCATTTATTAGATGCTTTTTAGAGGATATGTACGATTTCTAACTCATGTACGCTTGAGAAAATGTAATATTACACAGTTTAGAGCTACTTAAGTGAGTTTTGTAGATTGACATTTACAAGTTGTTTTATGTGCATGTAAGATTAGCAGCGTTCAATGCTAATTATCATGAAAGTGAAAGTTGCATATGTCATCATGTTCCTGTTTATTTGTATGGAGCTGTGCGTATGAATTCTTTGTTTTTCCAGTATCTCATTGTTTTTTGGTTGTTCGTTTGTTTCATTAAAATTGAGACTGTTCCTTTAAAATCGATGAGCTTCGAATTCATCGGTAACTGCTTGAATAGAGAACATTAATTTAAACGTAACGGGTATCATTAAGTCGACATCAGTTTACAAATTAAAGCTAAGTTTACCACAATTTAAAGAATCTCGGCCAGGATAAATTGTCTTTATATAAGTAAACCGAAATGTTAAAGCCAAGACATCCGATATGAAACGTTACTTAAACATGGTTCAAACTTTCGTTTGCTGATGTGAGTTCCTTAGAGGTGTTTAAGTTAATGCGACAAGTATTCATGATCATGACTTTCCTCAGCTTCCTTTCCCAACAGTTAATTAATTCTTAACTGTCACTCGCTTTAGTATTGACTTTAATTGAATCATTTCTATCTTAAAGTTAATTTTGATGCGTTGAATTTGCCATTTTAACAATAGCTCTGTAACTTAATTGTTACTTTTTGCTGCCGTACTAACTTCTCAAATATCACTGCTATGACACTGTAAAGTATATACTAAGTTTGACTCCTATAATGGTGAGATAATTCTACTTGTAGTTCTAATTAACTCTCTATGGCTTCACCTCAAACCGCTTTGCTTTGCCCAATTTTTGAAAAAAATTTCTTGTTCATTCTACATCAAATGCAAGGGAGCATAATTTGTAACTTCTTCACTCAATCCTATCAGTGTCTTACTTAGCTCTGTATGGTGTTTATTTTATTTTAATCTACTGCTTTTATGATTTTGATTTTACTTATGGACTTGAAAGTTTGTCAGAGTATATAGTAAAGAACAGTATAATTTCTAAGGCCTAAGAGCCTCTTGTTACTAATCTAAGCTACTTTGAAATGCTCTCTTTCTTCTGTTTTTATTTTATTGCTAACTCAGGGTAACTTCTTTACTTGGGTACCAAGTATTAATTGAACAATTGAATTCAGTCACCATTTGAAGCAATGATTTGGTTTAAGTCTCTATGATTCCGAAAAAATTTTCTCTTCAATTGCAATACAAAATAGTTTCAAAGACCTTGACATTTTGCTGAAAACAAGTGTTAGAAGTTGATGTAATAAATTATGGATTCATTTCTGCATTCCTGAGTGTTGGTTTGCATGAAGAATACTGAGAAAACCTTACATGTTAATCAATACCTGCTAGCATTACTAACATTAACATTCTAGTGGCAAACAGTCAATTTTCAGTAACAATTGGCAGCCAGCTCAGGCTGCACCTTGTCTCTATGAAATATATTTGGGCATGTTTTCCTTTGGAATTTTGTTGATGACATTTTGTCTTTGTATACATTTTAAAAGTATATGTATTTGTTTTAACTTTCGTAGACAGCGCCTCCCTGAGAATCACCTCTTTGTAAAGGAGAACCCTTTATAAACATAAATATTCAAGAAAGAAGAAAATTATTTACTTTGTAAACACCTGATGCAAATCATCTATCTTACCATTTTCATCATGTACAGAAACATTTTTTCATTGGTGCTATAGAGCTTTGTTCCTCTCAACATTTCTTGTTTTTGATGACAGACTAAGAGATGAGAGCCAGTTTTAGTAGCACATCCATGTGTTCAGGAGCAAAAAAACAAATGTTCCATTATTTTAAAACTTAATTAATGTCTGAACACCTCACTTGTAATTGTTCAATGATGTGTGCATATTCAATTGTAAAATGAATGCATGGTTATTCCATTTGATTTTTTTATGTTGTTATGCATCTGTCCAGTAATAGATCATAGTTGATGTCAAAATGTGCTGGTGAAGAACAAAAAAGTGGTGCATGAGGTGCAGTAAAGTCTGCCATGTTTGTACTTACCACATTTTGAAGTAGGAACCCATTTAAGTGCATGTATAATTCATCTTATCAAATAAATATTTATAATTATTGATCTATATGTGTGTTACTTCCTTGTAGCTGAGTTCCAGAATATTCTGAATTCTGGTTAAGTTCCATTCCAACAGCTGCAGGTGTTCTGATCCTTGTCTGACTAAACAGCCACAACTTACAGTGATTTTGGCACAGAACAGTTATTTTTCCAACAGCTGGTTGAATTTTTTGCTGTCCACCAGATTAATCACCACCCAGTAGATTGGTGTGAACACAATCTGCCACACAATCTACTGGGTTAGTGGTTTCTCTGGTGGATGGTATTATTGATTCAATCCAGCAACAGCAAGTATCTGAGAGGTTAATTCAACTACTGCTACCATCTCACAGGAGAAGCAACTTGAAAAGTGAGTATTTATCTTGTATGTGTAATTGACATAGATATAAGTTTATATAAAGAAAAATAAAGATAGATATATACATAATTACAATAATAATAATAACAATAATAATAATTATGACAATGATAATAAATAGGCCCTCAGCCAGCAACACAGCTTCTAGTCTGTAACGCAGTTTATCAACTGATAACCACAGCTACTTGATTTGAGCTCCATAAAAAAATACATAGTACATGTACATGTGTAGGGATACATTGTACACCAGTATGGATGTTAACATTCTCAACTTTCTGTATGACAATATCATATTCTAGTTTATATGTAAACAAGTATTAGCATGGCATAGCATAGTAAGGTAAGGAAATTCAGGAATAAAGATACATTGCAAACAATTCACAGAATTAACACAAAACTAAGCTTACACCCACTAGGATTTGGTTCCGCTCATTTTGAGTTGGCCAGTGAATGAGTTGCCAGTAGTCAGATACTTGTGTTTGCACTAAGATTTCTGGGATCACCACAGGGCAAACATTGCAAGTTGTTAGATGGAAATAAATGGTGAACACTCTGTTGTCACTGATTTATCAGAAATGGATTAAGATAGTGTTGATACATAGGAAGTGTAAGTTTTTATTTAAAAAACCACGAAATATGTTATAAAACATATCAATAAACTACTCTGAGCCTAGTGTAAGGTTTATGGTGAAATCTGGCATTGCATAATGATCCCAAAGTATTACAAAATTAGCCATAAATTGCTAGGAAATAACTCAATACAGTCTTGTGTCTGTACAAAATGAAGACTGAAGACCAAAAATCAAAGACCTTTTTTTTATGCCTGATGAGGCACAGAAAGTTTAAAAACCAAGCCAAAGCATTCCTCAGTGCACCAGATGTGAAATCAATGGGGTCTTCATTTTGTAGAAAGTACCATGTGAATTTATAAAACGAAGACCCTAGCTAAAACACTTTGTCATACACAAATGGCATTTATTAATTATTTACAAATTATATACAAATTTGTCACTCTGACTGAAACATATTAAGTACATGTATCATTGTTTCGTCCTCCTCATCATCTGATTTGGAGTCTTCATCTTGACTAACAGTGTTAGTAGATTCCTTTGACACAGTTCCTACTCAAAATTTTCCCTTGTGATCTGATCTCTTCCCTTACTGATGAAGTCTTTGCACATTGTAGCAAATAATTCTTTTTGTGGCACTTGCTACATTTTTTCCATAGGCAGGACATTGATGTGCATTGTTTTGTTAGATTTCCACAGTCTTGGCACTGGTACCTTTTGTGTGGTGTCAGATTTCATTTTGTGATTCTTGACTATACTTAGGGGCGCTTCAAGTTTTAATGCTTTGATTCACTTCCTGACTTCACAGTTCTTTATTCCTAGTGTTACCAATATTTGGAAGGTCAATTCATTGTTTAATACACCATAAGCAACCAGTGGATGCCAATTTTTGTTGTTCTTCATGGTTGACACGGCTAATTAAGCAGTGCTCAAAAATGGAAACTGTTGGGTTGTGTATGATCTGCAACTGGTAAATATTTAGCTTTTTGGTACATTTCCTTTCCCAAAACATTGTTCTGAGGATTATTTTTTAAGCTTTTTTTCAAAAAGGTCCAATCCTCGACCAGATTACCTTTCCAACTGATTGGAGCAGGTGTAATGACCAGCTGATTAAAGACCAGCATATGCATAGGCTGTGGGAATGGTTCTAATATAAACACACTGTACTGTTTACTTTTCACCTATTAAAAATAAATAAGTATCAGGGGCTTATTAAAGACCATCATGTGCTTGGGCTGTGGAAATGGTTGTCTCCTTTGTCACCTGTCAAAAAGGAATCAGTATCAGTGGCTGGTTAGAGACCACAGTGTGTGACACACATGCTGGAATTGTGCTATACACTTTAATTCTGTTTCTTTTGTCACTCATGGTAAATAAATCAGTGTTGGCATGACTAGGCTTAATATAAAGTGAACGGGCAAACATTCTGAAGTACTCTAGAACTTTACATGTAACACTTTCCTAACAAATAAAATCATTTTAACTTGAATTAACCATCCAAACACATTAAAAAATTATCACTTAGTGCTTTGATGAGAATATGTTTCACAAAGTGTTAAATATATATTAACTGGCTGCCTTTATGAAAAGGATGTTAAACTGAAAACAAATTTTAAGCAACTTCTGTGCATGGGGCTTAAAAACAAGAACTTGGGCTGATGTTCTTTATCATAAGTTTTGATCTGGGTACAGTATAAGCTTAGTTGTTTTCTTTGATGTTTGCCACCAGATGTGATTACCTGCCAGGGATTTTACATTTAAATGGTACAAGGTCATATATATACAAATCTATATTTGTATTTTGGCTTTGGCATCCATAATGTGATTGATTTTGTCTTTTTCAGTTATTATGACTCATGATTTTAAAATGATTGTCTTTGTAGATTTCTTCAGTGAAGCGGATTATCTTTAATATGATTCTGTTCTGAAATAAATTAATGTTAACTTCCACAGTTGCATCAATTGAATGTTGATTAAATGGGCAGGACTGGAAGCTAGTTATTGAGTCTTGGCTTAATTGTGGCAAATTAAATTTCAAGGTTGCTGAATTCTAGGTTTAATGTGTTTCTGTATTTTTCCTATATTTTCAGAAGCTGATTAGCAATGTCAGAAACTGCAAAAACTGACAAGAGCAGTCCAAAGAACATTTATGGTGACCCACCAAAGATCAATTTTAATCTTCCAGAGATAAGTGAACTAACCCAAAATTTTAAAAGTTGGAAGGATGTTCAACTCCCAATTGACATTCTGTTGTTAACAGGGAAGGACTGTGAGTTCTTAAGTTGCTACCATTACATTGTTGATCCATTCAGAAGCTATTTCAAAGGGCTTGGTTCTGTATACTTTGGCAGCTTTTGTGAAGATCAAGATGATAAACTGAAAGTTGCTTTGATGAAATGCTCAGAGGGTTCTAAAGTTCCTGTTGATGGTTTGACTGTTGTAAAGAATGCTGTCACTCAGCTGAAGCCAAAAGCTGTCTTTTCTGTGGGCCACTTCAGTGGTATTAATCAGGAATCAACAAAGCTTGGGGATGTGGTTCTATCAAAAAAGCTCACAACCTATTCGTATCAGAAGGTTACAAAGGATGGAAAGAAATTTTGTGGGTTCACAACTCCTGTAAGCAGAGAAATTGCTGAACTCATCAATTGTGCAGGTCATGGTTGGAATCCACCCCTGGAAAATCCTAAAGAGAGGAAAGTTGAAGTCCTCTGTGGTGAGGTTTTGAGTGGTACTGAGGTCATGCATGCTGAATGGCGACAAGAGGAACTAATGAAGTCATTTCCTGAAGCAATTGCAATTGAAACAGAAGAAGAGGGTAAGATCTCTTTTTCCTTTGAAGTAACTGTTACTGTAAAATCTGCTCAAAGAGATATTTGGATATTTATGTATACTGGGACAGAGAGAATCAATACTTATATGATAACAGTTGTGGTTGGTAAGTTTTCCTGCCAGTGTCAAGAGATGCACTGGCTTGTGTGTGAACAAACTGGACTTCAGATTAAGAGGTCTGGGTTCAAGCCCTGGGCTAAAGTGATTGTGTTGTAGTCTGGACTGGGAGGCTTTTTGACTCTCACAGTGTGTCTCCACACCTAGGAGTATAGATGGCTACTGATGAACTGACCCGTATTTCATATACATGTGTAAGGAGTAAGGGTACAGTCTTAGTGGCTGAATGGTATGGAACCTGGGAGAAGCTCGTGCTACAGGGACTAGCTCTGCACCTATTATATGTAAATTGACTTTCCAAAATAGATCTCTAGTTCCTTGCAAATCTTTGATAACAATTTGGTAACAATGGAAGAGGTTAAAATCAATAGATTTTGGAGCAAATTTGTTGTTTTATTCATAATAGCTTGTTATTGTATGTCTCAGGAGTTTTCAGTGCAGTGCATGAACTGAAAATAGAATGGGTCATCGTCAAGGGTATTTCACGATATGCAGATGGAACTGAAGAGAGAGAAAACTGGCAAACATTTGCAAGTGTAACAGCAGCTTCTCTTGTTGCCAACATTCTAAACCAATGCAGTATTTTTGAAGATTGGCCACATTACAAAGGTAAACAGATCAACGTTTATTTTTTTAGGCCTACAGTATATTTGCTTGCAGTCACAAGCTGGTCTTGTATGCCGTTTAGTTTTGTGTTCTATAAATGTGCTGGAACCGAATTACCAAAACTAAATTAAAAACATGATTAATTGACCTATGATCATGCACTGACCAATCATAACAGCTCTTGGATCAGAAATGTTACATGCTTGTCAGCAATTTCACAGACTCTGCTTATGTTTGGGATGCTTTCGAGCTTTTGATAGCATTTTCCCTCTGAGAAGAAGACCACTGATCCCCCAATGATACACCTGCTTTTGCTTTCATTTCGGCCTTCTATGCAGCATCCCTACTGGAATTTCGACCTGCATTAATATCCTTTAGAGTATAGCCAACTTGCGCACTATTTATCGCTGGTAATAAATCACTAATCTTGCAATTCAATAAAAATACAATTACCTACATGTACAAGTATAGTGCCTAAATTCTCAGACACCATGCTTTTTGGCCATTGTATCTTTTATGTACGTTTTTGACAGTGCCTTGAAACTGGAAAAGTGTCGCTTCATATGTCGGTAGCCAAATCAAAGTGAAGGAAGATCATTTGATGCGTTTGTATATTGTCATACAGTTTTCTGGTAGCGCAAAATTCACCCACTTCTTAACTGCCAACCGTAAGCGTAAGGTTGCCAGTATTTCCCCCTACCTTTTAGGCTTTTGTATCCATTGATCGTAAGAAACGAACTGGTGAGTTGTATTTCATCAGAGAAAAATCTTTCGATGAATAGCCAATAGTCAATATCAGTTTGCTGGAGAGCAACTTGCCCACCTACAAGAATGCAAAGTTACAGGAAGTACCGTTACAAACTTCCTATTTTAACGACTGTCTTTCTACACTGGCTGTTTCTTTTACAGAAAGGATAGTTTTTTCCAAGTATTTTGCTCGAATTTTTAAAAGACGTGCAAATGATAAGTCACCAAACAAAAAAAACAAAAAAAAATTCAGTTTGTGTATGTGGGCCTCCCTATCACGTGTTAACGATGTATATAACATGTAGGGATAAGTAATGCAATCGCACGAAATGGTACTAAACGAGGGAAAAACCTTAAAACTTTTAAGCGGAAAAAGCAAATCGTCAAGGCTGTTTACAAGCCTATCTATTGACCGAAAAAATATATCCCGATTGGTTTTTTTTAACATTTATTAAGAATACGATACAAGTGTGCATGTGCTTCAAGTACCCCTGCAAGTTTTCATTGCTAGTGGATGTCTCTTTTTTTTTCCCCCAAGTTGCTAATTGTATGGAAAATATTTTTTTCAAGTTTCTCGCGTGACTGCAGGCAAGAGATATAAATGGTAGATCACCAAGTCCGTTTACGTGGTGATGACAATTTTTCTTCCTGGCAGAAAAAAAAGAACAATAAATATTCCGTTCACGTATTTGGGCGTGCATATTTCGTGTAAAATGATGCACAGCAGGGACGCATAATGCAGTGGCACGAAGTGGCCTCGAAACAAATTGCTCAGGAGACGTTTCATGAGGAAAGGAAATAGCTCCAATGCTACAATGAACCTGTTGGCTCAAAACATCTGGTCCAATGATTTTTTTTCTACATTTGTTATCATGCAGGTGATTCTACTAAACATTTGCCACGGCCAGAGGTGAAACGCCGTAAGAAAGAGTCGTCTTCGAATGACGCCTTAACTCCGAAGAAAGGAAAAACTTGTTTGGCAGGTAGAATGAGGGTATATCTATAAGCGTACCTGGTAACCCCCACCCCCCAACCCCATCTTCCTTCCCCCCTGCCTTTGTAAAATAAAAATGTGTGGATCCAGCAAAATGGCATGAATAGTTGCAATACGTACTGCTCGCTATCCCCTCATCTTGACGCTTTGCTGTGATTTCTTTATGTTTGTATTCAAGCAAGTAGTTTTCAGTGACGAAAATTTAGAGTGGCTTTACCCAAGTTGCTTATTGTGTGGAAAAGATTTTTTTAAAGCTTTCCGCTCGATCGCAAAGTAGAGATATAAATGGTATGTCACCAAATCCGTTTACGTGGCGATGACAGTTTTCGTTACTAGCTGGAAAAAAAAAAACAAGAAATCCTCTGTTCTCGTATGTAGGCGTGGATTTTTTTGTGTTAAATTATGCACAGTAGGGTTGCATAATGCTATGGCACGAATTTGCCTTGAAACAAATTCATCAGGAGACGTTTTATTAGAAAAGGAAAAAGCTCCATTGCTACAATAAATCTGTCGGCTCAAATAATATTTTCTTGTCTAATTATTTTTTTGCATTTGTTATCATGCAGGTTCTTCTACTAAGCATTTTCTTCGGCCAAAGATGAAACGCTGTCATGAAGAGTTGTCTCCGAGTGATGCCTCAACTCCAATGGAAAGAGGTAAAGTGAGGACATATCTATGGGCGTGCCTGTTAACCCCCACCTCCAACCCCATCTTCCTTCCCCCTGCCTTTTAAGATAAAAATGCGTGGATTCAGCAAAATGGTA